CCACCCCCCAGCTCTGCCGGTGCCCCTCACTCCCGACCCGCAGCCCCATCCCGGAACTAGCTGCCACGTGCTGGAATTTGTTGGCTGGTGGCACCAGCTCCAGGCTGCAGAAACTTAATGATTCAAATCATTTATTTAACCAGCCATCAGCCACGGGCCGTTGGGGGTGGGGGTGGGGAGTGTCAGAGTGGGTGGCTGGGAGCCCGGACTCCTGGGTTCTATCTCTAGATCTGGGAGGGGAGTGGGTTCTAGTGGGTTAGAGCAGGGGGGAGGGGCTGGGAGCCTGGACTCCTGGGTTCTCATCTTGTCCCTTGCTGTAGAACCCAGGAGTCCTGACTCCCTGCTCTGGAATCTCGGTGGGGTTTGGCTAACAGCTGGGACTCTCCGGCGGCCAATGGACCCTCCCAGCAGTTAGCCATGGGCACAGCCTGGCTCGGTGTCTGGAACGGGCCCCTGGATCCGTTCTGGGCCCTCTCCCAGAACCCTCCCTTCCATGGGCATGTCTGGGCGGGAACCCGGAGATGGTGCAAAAACAACCTGTACTGCAGGGAGGAGGGTGGGGGCTCTCACCTGGCAGGCAGGGCTGGTCCCGATGCCCCCGCATGACGCTAGGGGGCGCTGTGCTGCAGGGAGCAGGGTGAGGGAGTCAGTGGGGAAACTGAGGCACGAAGCAGTGATCATTTTGACGTCTCTCTGGACACCAGCTCCCGGTGCAGACCTTGGCCATCCCGCTTCCACTCTTGGCACCATCCAGCCCCATTTGCAAGAAGCCGCCAAGACTGGCTGCTCCGATTGTTCCCAACACAATCGCGCCCTTCACCGGGGGTGTTGATTCTGGGCCAGTGACAGGATAAATATTGATCAGGACGGAGGAGGTGGCAGCTTCATATGGAAGGAGATCGATTAATCATTGCACAGGGAATGGGGGAGGGTGGTCTGGGGGTTAGCGCGGGGGGGCTGGGAGCCAGGACTCCTGGGTTGTCTCCCTGGGTCTGGGAGGGGAGTAGGGTCTAGTGGTTAGAGCAGGGGGCTGGGAGCCAGGACTCCTGGGTTCTCTCCCTGGCTCTGGGAGGGGAGTGGGGTCTAGTGGTTAGAGCAGAGGGAGGGGCTGGGAGCCAGGACTCCTGGGTTCTCTCCTTGGCTCTGGGAGGGGAGTGGGGTCTAGTGGTTAGAGCAGGGGGCTGGGAGCCAGGACTCCTGGGTTCTCTCCCTGGCTCTGGGAGGGGAGCGGGGTCCAGTGGTTAGAGCAGAGGGAGGGGCTGGGAGCCAGGACTCCTGGGTTCTTTCAGGGCTGGGTTCTGAGTTCCCTGCGCCCGCCTCTCTCCGAGCGGCCTTGCCCGCGCCCTGCCCTCTTCTCTGTGGCGAATCCCCACGTTCTTCCTGGCCTCGCTCCAAACCCTCCACCTGCCCGGCAGCGCCGTGTTTGCTCAGGGTGGGGCTGCGATTTGGGCTGGGCCGGAGGCAGCCGTCTGCCAGCAGAGCCAGGGGACGGGGGGGGGGGGGACGATCCCCACCCCCCACCCCCTTGGGGCCCGGCTGTGGTATCGGCCTTGGCTGGCGGCCGCTTTCCTGGGTCAATAACAAAGAACAATGAGATTTTGTACTGAGATCTACAGGGCCCCGGGGGCTCAAACACCCCAGAGCCACCCACCCTGGCTGGGGCGGGAATGGGGCTCGGGGCCTCTCCCCTCTAGGGGGCGCCGGCTCCCATCCAGCCCCAGGGCAGGGCCTGGCTGGCTCAGGGGGGCGCGAATGGGATATGGGACCTCACCCCTCTGGGGGGCGCTGGCTCCATCCAGCCCCAGGGCAGGGCCTGGCTGGCTCAGGGGG